TTAAATATATGCAACGCAATGGTATAAGTACAAAAAAAAGCATTACACTACCAAGAAGAAATAATACTAATAATAATAATACACTAGTCTCATTAATAAAAAGTTATTAGCCTTTTCAGCAATCTACCAAACAAGTACAGAATGTTAAACAATTAAAATTATGCAAGAACAAAATCAAATAAATTGGGAATTTATAACAAATACATTTATTATAATTTCAACAAAGCCAAAAATAATGAAACTAACTTTGGTAAACCACCTTCAATTCTAAAAAAAGCTGTTTCTTGTACTGTGTACTTTCTGGAGCGAATGAGAACTGATGCATTTAATACTGTGTTATTAATAATAATAATAATAAATGTTAAAAGTAATGCAGTGTTATTCACAATAAAAAAGGGTATATGAAACGCGCTTCATTATCCGCTCCCGTAGCTTCAAAAAAAGAATGGTGGGTAACAGATGTCAATTGCTTCATCCATACACAGAAGAATAGCCCTTATCGTTTGACTACCTACTTCGCAAAATAAGGACGTAAAAGAAATCAATACTTATTTCAGCTACTATAGATTATCCCAATAAATGTCTTTCCATCAATTAATTACACATTACACGAACAAAATTTAACTGTTAATCCCATAAGTTAAAACATTCCATAACCCTTTTTAAATTTGAAACATAGATTTAAAATAAACCCATAGATAATAGATACACAAATCTAATAAGGGTAATAAATGGATAATAAAAATAGATGTGTTGTGTTGTTATCACACCTTCTGTTTTAACCATTTTAACAGATCTACTTCAGTCTATTGTTTTTCTTCCAAAAATATTGTAAATACCTAAGATTTTTTAATTAATGCTCAACTATATGTTCTAATAGTATAGTTTTTATGTGCTGATCAGAAATGTACAAAAAATTGTCTTAAAAAAAAGTACGTTACTTTATTCAATTTCTTTTAGGTCAAATTGGTTCAGATGAAGTGTTGACTGAATGAACGTCATCTTATTTCATAGATTTATTAGTATGAACATCGGCGTTTATTAATATATGTCTATGGTATGAACTATGGTACGAATCACAATTGAGATAATAAAATAGATGGCTCTTTTCTACGGTAAGTGCCATAATCCATAAATAGTAAATGCTCAATATAGCTCAATTGGATGAGCCAAGTTAAATTCTAAATTGTAAACACTGCATAATTCTGCAGTTGATAAGGTTTTATTATAAGGAAGTGAAATTACTTGTTTATAATCAGCAAATATAATTAATAATTTAATAAGAAAACCTATTTGTTTTAACGTTTTAGTGAAAGGAATAATAAGCTACGCTGTCTTGTGGGAATGTTGCTGTAAGAGAATGAACGCTCTTCCAGTTTCTAATTTGCGAACAATAAATAAACTTTAATATTAAAATATTGAAATGATTACGCTTTCTCAACGGCTAAAAAAACAAGAAAAACATACCTCTAACAACAGGATTTCCATAAGAGACAAACTGATAGTGGGCGAATTACAGGAAATGATGCAGTTGTTACCAAGTCGTTGTAGGATAGCTCATCCAAACGTTAATGACTTAAGTTCTTTTCATCTGTTTGTTACCCCAAATGAAGGATTTTGGCTGGGTGGTTGTTTCAAGTTCTCTATTGATGTTCCCGAGGACTATAATATGGTGGTTGGTGGAAACTAAATAATGTTAATGTAATGTGTTAATGTTAAAATTTTAAGCCTCCCGTTGTTAAATGTCTTACAAGGTTGTGGCATCCAAATATTAGTGAAACAGGGGAAGTTTGTTTGTCACTTTTGAGACAACATAGTATGGATGGATTAGGATGGTCACCAACTAGAAAATTGAATGATGTAGTGTGGGGATTGCATGCTTTGTTTACTGTAAAAATAAAATTGTGAATTGTTTTTTATCCTCAAAATTTATTAATTTACTGGTTTTTAGGATTTATTAAATTTTGATGATCCATTAAACTTAGACGCTGCAAAGATGTATCACGGTAACAAAGAGGAATTCCAAAAAGTAGTTAAGGAATATGTTACTTTGTACGCAAAAGATGGATTTTAACAAATGCTTTTAAAAAATGTAAACAGTTTTACCATTTGAACTTAAGACTTAAAATATTAATTATTAAGAACCTGTTCTTTAAGAGAACTTTATTGAAAATACACAAAATAAATGTATTCTGTTTTGAATAACTAAATTAAACAAATATAAAACATCAATACAGTGAATATTTAAAATTTACATAAAAAAATAAATTTACTTAAACCATGATTTGAGTTCATTTATTAACATTGATCCAGTAACAACCTTTTCGGAATTTACTGTTATACAAACCTCCTCAGGCTTCCAATTTAACGTCACCAAAACAATAGAAGATGAAGTCAATGTTTGGCCAGCAAACCTTCAAATTAAAAAAAAATTAACGTCTTGAACATATCATTAAAAAAATAAATACCTAGAAGTATCACTTGTACTACTAGGGCATGCTCCTACATTGGCAACCTGAAATATAGTTCGACTGAAATCCTTTTTTAACGTCCTTACTACGCAAATATGCTCGTTCATGCCACGCAATTTTGACTGCTCATTAAGGAATGTCTCTTCGGACATGGAAACTGGTTTTAAAAGTTCACCCACCGGTGGTTTTATAGCCACATCACACGTTCCTAAGATGATTTGCATTTGTTACATTCAATATATTTGAAATATCAATTATAACAAGATATAAGTATCACCTAGTGAAGAAACTATTTGAAAAGGCACTGATACAGTTGTGTCATTAAAATCAATCCCTATGGTACCAGGCAAACTACAGTTGGGCCCCAGGCAAGTAATAAGTGCAAATTCATGTAAAGTTACACCCATTGGTAAATTCTGAAAGATTCGTTTATAATTGAAATTCTCTGAATGGCACAAATTTACTTAAAATTGGTTACCTTTTTCTCGAGATGTATATTACAGACGTTCTCTGTACCATGATTAGTAAAAACAAGTCCTATATTGGTCATGGAAGGAGAAAATAAATGGGGATTTCTAGTAAATCGATAAGTAACACTTAAACCTTTTCCGTGTATTCTGTTCAAAAGTTCGATACCTGTAGTGGATACGAAATTTGGAGCTACTGCTGTCACAGGAGAAGCTATAGGCATGCCGTCTGCAGGTATTAAGAACCTACCATAGGACGGTGTCATTACTGGGACTGTTGGCATATCGTCTATGTTTAGTAGTAGATCCAAATTTAAATTTACTTTTCCTTTTCTTAAAACAGTTTCACTTTCTTTTAATTCATCTTCTGGCTTCTTTTCAGAACAAGAACTTTCAGATGACTCACTTTCTGAGGAATTTCTGTAAAATATTTATGACAATTGTGTTGTTGCTTTTTCGTTTAATTATTTTACCCTGAATCTGTTTTTTCGTTTGAACTATTTTGTGCTGAATTGCCGTCTTCTTCCTCATCGTCCTCATCTTCTTCGTCTTCCCTTTCTACATCTTCACTTCCTGATGACGATGACTCTGTTTCACTAGAAGAACAATCTGCAGAAGAACTAATGTCTGATATATTTGCAAACATTTTCGTCTTTTCCTGGAATATTTTTTTAGTGACAATCTGTAAATTATTAACAATAGTTCATGTTACTTGTTTAGGGGTTCCCTTTGCCTCGTTAAGTGGGAACGCCTCCACTTCTCTTACATGCCCTGAAGGAGGATTTTTCGGGAATGGAGGCAACGGTTCATATCCTACAGCTCTTGTGTTAATGTAATGACTCAGAGAACCCAATTGTAAATCTTCATAGTCTATAAAAACATAATGCGTAACATTTGCAAATTTTATTTGCATGAGTTACCTTTAAAACGAGTAACCAGTTGTGGAGCAGGTTTATGTGCTAGGAATATTTTACTAACACAAGAAGTAATTCGTCCTTTGGGGTCCAGTATGAATTGTTTTAGAAGACGAGCCCTGTCACGGATATCATAGTTTTGATCGTATTTGGCAAGATTAAATACATATTGACATAAAAGCTCCGTTTGTTTGGGATTAGTTATGTAAAGCTTTATAGCTAAGTTAAGTACTTGTAATTTAACAATACCGTTCTAAAAATAGAAAAAAATTAACAGGTCGTCCAACAGTAGAGTAAAAGTTAACTATACTTCGTCAGAAAAAGTTTTGGCTACTTTTCGAAGAATGTCGGGGGCCACGGTAGGTACACGATTCGAATGTTCTCCTAACAACCATAATATTGCTGCTCGAGCTTGAGCAACAGTGATACTGTCTAAAAGCTTTACTATATGAATTATAATATCTTTTGGGTCAGCTGCTTGAGTCTGAATTAATCTCTTTATAACTATTACACTTTCTGCAACCACAGCCTCTGGAATAAGTTACATGTACTAATAGAAATATCCTTCGAAATCAAGTGTTATAATATCTTACCGTCTTTATTTGATAATAAAGAGACTAGCCCACTTAAGCACGAATCTGTAATTTCGGATATAGCACAAGCGCATCTCCCAATCGCTTGTATCGTAGCAGCGACAAAAACTTTGTCGCTATTTGAAATGTAAGTTTGAAGTTCCCTGAGTATGGTAGAAACGTTTGATTCTGTGGCCAAATTAGTCAGTATATCTAACTTAAGTACTTTAATTCTTGTTGGATCGGATGTTCTAATGAAAAAGTTTTTTATATATGGTTGGAACAGTTCTTTCTTTTGCGAACTAATCGATGCTATACTGTCCAAGACGATGCTTTGCACTTCGACATGCGATCTTAAAATTCTAACCAAGGCTCTTGCGGCAAGAGGTCCTTCACTTTTAGGAGCACAATGATGATATAACTGTGCTACAGCCATCACAACTGCAGCATTACGAGACTGCAGTAAAGGTCGCGTAGAGCGCAGTAATAAACGATGGTCAGGGTCTAAAGGAGGAGGTCTTATATTCTCAGATTTTTCTGATGAACCGGAGTCGTAAAAATTGTTTTCATTGTAATCATAGTCCTAACAGACACATAAAATTAGATATTATTTATCTATACATATACATACAAAGATCAAAAACTAAAAATTCTTACATGCAAATTAGGGTTGGTAAATTGGCTTCTTGCATATCTGGTTAGCATATTGACTATAACAACTTGTCCCCACTCATCTACATCTACTAATAAGGCACAAAGTTTACGGTAAACTTGATGAATTAAATCTACTCTTTCAGGACACACCTCTGTATAAGCCATTACAGCTGAGCCCATTACTAACACTGTCCTATCGGCCAGTAGTTTCTGAATAAGGGTGATAAGTTCTGGTTTTTGCTCTTTGTCAAGACTATAAACAACAACAGAAACACTGATGATCTGGTAGCAAAATATGATAATAATCACCTGTAGAGTTTTGGAATGGCATGAGCAGCTGTTTTTCTTACATAAGGTGACATGTCAGCTGCTGCATCTTTTATTGCAAGCATAACTATTGGTACTATTATTGACACCCTTATGCTGGACAAGACACGTAAAGCACCAGCTCTAATAAGCTGATTTGGTTCCTAAGAAAAATTTATGTCAAAATAGTTAGAAATAAATAAGGACAAGTGAAGATATACTTTTAAGGCTCTTTGAAATGAGGAAATTGATAATAGTGCAAGGTCCTGTTGTTCTTCTGCATATCTTACTAAATAAACATATACTAGTTTCTTAACTTCAATGTTTTTTGATACAACATTTTTAACAACAGCAGGAAATAAATCAGAAGCATTTTTTCCTTTGGCAACCATCTACAATGATAACATTTAATGTAAAACTAAGCCTCCCATAAAAAAACACTTACTCCAATAATTCTTTTCATTGCTTCTAGTTTCAAACTATCTTTATTTGAATCCAGCATTTCTTTTAAATCATCATACCTGAGTAGAAAAACAGTAATGATTACAAGAAATAAGTGATGATAATGGGTACCTTTTATAATCAGAATTAAAGAAGCCCCCTGCGGCAGGGTCAACACCAAATTCAGTGTCTCCAGGCAAACTTCTCTCATTTCCATAATTTCCGTTATTTGACATGGTTGCTGTAGCTGAAGACAACATCTAATCAATTAAACAAATGTTATTTAAGAAAAATTAACTATATTTACAATGAAACTGTTATCTTTACTTATTATTAAACAAACTAACATTAAACGAACAGCAGCACACGTTCTGAGTACTTCTATGATAGGTTTATCAACTAAGATGTAAATGTAACTCGACAAGATTATCTATGTTGACATGTGTTGACAAGTATATGTGACAAGTAATAATAACGTAAATAGGTTAAGGTTAGAAGTACCATAGATTGGGTTTGATGGTTCCACAATAGCAGACAATAGATATCGAAAATAGAGTAAGTAGATTCAAGAGATACATTCTGTTTAATTACCACGGGTTTCTATATATGGTTATGATTCTGAAATATGGTATCTTTTAAATAAAGCAGAATGGAATGCTTCATCAAACTAAAAATTTAAACTAATTAGTTTTTAAAAATATCTACTACCATTTCTAAAATAATTAATAGTAATTCCTAACTGTGTGAAATTTATTTGAATAAAATCGTTCTCCTGAACGCACCTATCGTACTAAAGTGAATGTGTATTAAAAATAGGTTAAGATTGTAGTAGTTTACAAGATAGTAGTTTACATTGATGAATAGGAAGCAGGGTACAAGTTAAAATTTGCGGTGAAATTGGTGTTATGTTGAAGATTACAGAACTTATTCAAAAAAATGTTATCTCAAGGTTTTTAATATGTTCATCACAAGCCGATTAGTTGTTTGTAATGGATGAAAACCAAATTACAAAAAGGGCGCGAAGAAGTCCATTAAATCTTAGTCCCTCTTTAATTATTACACGAGAATATATTACTAATAATTCTAAATCTGGTAAGGTTTGCTTTTAAATATATATTATGCATTAAAAAATTCCTGTTTTATAATTATGTATCAGCATGAATATCTAATGTAGTTTTGTTTATTTATGAAATAGGTAATTACAAAATCGAAAGTCCTTTTTGTATGTTCGTGTAAAACATGTTTTCAATACATTTTGCTGTTTAAAAGTTATTTTTTTTTACTATTTTCATGTTTTCCTGGGCACTGTTTCATTGGTACACATAAATGTTATCAAATTAAACCAGTGGCGTAACTTTAAGGCATTAGAAAGGGCTAATATTTTCATATCAAACTAAGTTAACTAAATATAAAGCAGGAAGTGCATTTTTTAGTCATTTGTGGTTTTTAGTATAATAATAGACATTTATTATTTATTTTAAATTGTTGATTTTTTAACCACTTGTTGATTGGCGCGAAATTTGAATTAAGTTTAATGTTATCGCTGAAAGTGGCTTTAAATATACAGCTCAGCTTAATTATCACAAATAACTGCATGGTTGTTTTGAAATGGAATAGGTAATATAATGTCTTTATCGGTTTCCATGTAGAATGTTATGTGTAGATATAAATATATAAATAAACTGCTAATAAGTAGTGTTACAGGTAGTTTATTGCACAAAAACTTTTTTATTTGTAATCATCTGTTTTTATTTACTTGTATATATTCGTCATAACTAGAGTGCAATTTTTAAATTCAGTTTTGATAACCATTTGTTTAGTAGCTTTTAAAGGCGCAAGAAATGATGTTAGCGAATTTTTTAATTTATCAAAAATTTAGGGCTCGTATGATCTTCATACGTGCTGGTTTAAATTATTGTATGTCATTAAATACCCGTTTTAATTCCTCAGATAGCGAAGATACCGCAGAAACAAGTAAATTGGACGAGAAAAATAATTCACGGTTGCAGACAAACGTGGTGGACATAACTATAAGCAGCTCTGATGATTCAAGATTTGATGGTAAAGATGTAAGTTTTACACTGATATCTGATTCTCCGGAAAAGTCTGGTACGTGTACAGATGGTCATCAAAAAGTTGCCACACGAGAAAATCAAAAAGACGAATTTAACTGGGTAGCACCTCAATTTAAGGACCTTAGTGTGGGTACATTGATTAAAGAGAGGTGTGTGTATCAAGAAGATATTAAAGAAAACAAAGAAAGTAAAAGTACTGCTGGTAATAAATCCCAAGTAAAACTTGTGAGAATGTATATAGAGGCATTATGCAGTAAAACCGGACAAATTGGAGAACTACTAAGCTTAGACTGTCATGTACTTAGAGAAAATGATGTTGTGTCAGAATCAGATTCTTCGGGTTATGCTGCTGATGTATCAAAAACAGTATCACCTTTAAGTGGGGCTTCAGCTACATACATACCCCCTCCAAAAGGATCTCTTGCAATGAGAGCTTCACTTATGTCACATTCTAGCAGTAGTTCTGTACCTAGTTCAGCTGCTGCTCTAAACGTTCAAAATTTGTTAAAAAAGTCCACATCATCATACAATAAGACCAAAGAACCTGTTAGTGACTTGGAAAAGAAATGGAAAAACTATCAGTTGGTTTACAGTGTCCTCTCAGCTATCGATGATTCGTTTGTTGAATCGTCCACTAATGTAGAAAAGATGGATTTAACTGAGAGTTCGAATCATATTCCGCAAAATTCACAACCTGCTCATGTACCGCCAAAGAAACGGGGATCATTTGTTATCCAAGGAAAGGATGAAAAAGAACCCGAAATTAAAAAAATTAGACCCAATACATTTGGTAAATATACTTAGGATGTAATTTTGTCTAAACTAATTTTTTTTTTTTTTCTAGAAGAAGAAAGTATGTTGGTTTTCGCAAAGTGGACTGACCAACGTTACTACGCAGGATTTATTAAAGGTCAGTCAGAAAATAAATGGACTGTAGAATTCCTTGATGGTAATTTTCGAAACGTTTCCGACGAACAAATAATTTTTGCCGACGTCCATAGTCTGATAGGATATAAAGTGATGGTTTTGGAGGAATCTGGGAATGTGAAGTGTCCTGGTATTGTGACTGCATTCCATTCAGAAGAAGAACCAATGTACACGGTTGCGACCGATAGGGGCGACTTTACAGTGTCAGCAAGTAATATCTATTTGACCAAACACCAAGCTAAATTAGTTAAAAATAATATAGAATATTTAGAAAATAGCACTGCTTCGTCATCTTCTCAGACATCTTCCGTGTCACTTAGAAATTGTAGATCACGAAATAATACATATAGTCCTAAGCCGGGTAGTTCTGGGACCCAAAAAACACTTTTGGCGAAAGCTTTCGAGATGAAAATGCACGCCAAAAGTGCCAGCGAACTCAGTACAACCACCGACGAAGATGTTTCAGAAAATACGTCAAATGGCGAATTAAAATTGGTACCCGGTTGTGATATGGAGTTACGATACCAAAGGGTTAATAACCCCTCTATAAAACTGAAAAGATGTTTTGGGCAATTAAGTAAGTCATCTTCAGAAAAAGAAGTTTCGACTTTGGGACCTTTGGACGTAAAGGGGACCTGGTTCAAAGGTTTTGGTTTTTTATTGACATGCGGGAGTAGACCCTTGTTTGATGCAACAGGAGAAGAAGATGTTGGCACTGATAACGAAGATTATGCTTTCAGTAAGGTTCCATATGTAGAGGACCATTTGGCAACTCAAATAAAAAACGGAGGCGGTATTATTTATTCTAAATTTGAAGATGTACCACCTAAGAAGTACAAAGTAACATACCTTGTAAGTTGGCGGCCTGCTCTTACACCTAAGTACATTAGAGGGCTGGCTGTGGGAATGAGAACCGTTTGCCATGAGTGGATTGTTAATTGTAGTATTAAAAAGAAACGATTGACCTTACAAGAGCTACCCGCAGGTTGGTCTGTTGAAGACCATCGTTTTATTGAGAGTTTTGAAAGGAAAACTGATAAACCATTTCGATCACTTCATTTCAAAATTGCTCAGCTTACAAGTAAATTATTTTACGACTTTTGGTCAAAGGTATGTGCTGATGCAGGTAAGTAATATTTAGTTTTTTAAATTTGGGGCAACAAATATTACTTAAGTTTATTGTTACAGGAGCTGTGGTGTCTGAGTTTAAAGGACAGTGTGACGGTACGGACGTAATTTTAGTAGAGAGCGGTTTAACGGATCCAAGTTTGGATGCAGCACAAGCAAAAGGTATTGCTTTAGTTTCTACAACATGGGTCGTTCAATCTATAATTTATGGAGAAGCTCGATCTTATGATAGGCATCCGTCATACAATCATTTGTATGATGATGGCGAGGATTTATTTTATTACGATATATAGGGACGCTAATCTCTCTCTCTCTCTCTCTCTCTTTCTCTCTTTCTCTCTTTCTCTGTTTTTACGGCGGATTAGATGTTAACATTAATTTTGTCCAAGTTTAGGGAACTTTTTATTTTAAATGAACTGTGATATCTGATTTTGAAGTTAAAATAAGTCAGTAATTTAATTCCAATATCCCCGAATAACAGTGCAGTATCAATTTATTAAATTTAAAAATGTTAATATTTGTAAAGTTGAATAAAAAGTGTTATTCTTTATGTTATGTTACTTTTAAAGTATACGTGATATTTTGTTCGGAATTTGTATCTTTTTTGTTTATAAATTTCATAATCAAAAGTAAAATGATGTTAAGTGTTGTTAGAAATTAGAGAACAGGTCTTAAATGAGATAGTAACCGTTATTGAATTCTGTGATATCAAAAGAAAGCATTTTGTTGAGTTGAAAATAAATTTTTATGCTCTTTTTAAAAGAGCCAATTTGGGGACTTATAAAAAATATATCATTACATATAAAAGTTGGTTAATAGTACAAAATTGGGAGATTAATTAATTGTATATTTCAATTATTATTCGTTTAAATTCCTTTGCTTATTCATGAAATTGTTTAAAGTCGCCAGGTATTGATGGTTTTGTTATTTGGATGCCTATTTTTAACTTAAATGCAATATGTGTATTTATTGAGTTATTATACTGAAAGGTTTTTATCTGTGGATGTATTTATCATTAGATGTTTTTAATGTTCAATGTATGAAATTTGTGAGCTATCGAGAGGTTTCTTGTTTGTTTTCGAAATTTATTTAACTTAGGCATTAATAAAATATTTTTCAAAAATAATAATTGATGATTTTACTTTCTTATTAATCGTGTAATTTTGAATTAATCAACTTTCAATAATTAACGTATTCTGTTTAATTTAGCATTCCAATTTCTCTACACTAATTTCTAATTTATTTTAATTCTCGGTAGTTTTTCAAAGTGTACTTTATTATTTATGTAATTTTGTTTTTTGCTTATAAGTTTGTATAAAATAAATGTTGAGATGTAACTTTTTTTATTATTTGAATCACTAAACAGCTCCTATTTTTAAACAGCAGCGTAATATATAGTGGATATATGAACATTGTAAACAATGCATAAAAAATGTATCTGTGCTATAGAACTTTTTAGAGTTAATCATTCTTTTTCTATAAAAAGAAATTAAATTATTAACAGTTATAACAAAATTTAAAAAATGCGTTTTTGAGTCGGCAACCCACTGTACAGCCGCGAATGACCGGTTGTCGGTACATCTGCGTATGTAATTAATTGATGTTAATGAAAACAATAAAGAAATTACTAACTAAAAAATCGCACGTAAATTTTGAGGATGTTATAGAATTATTTTTGAAGTTTTTAATAGTAGAAACGTTTGTAGAATCTCATCGTATTATCATATTTGGAGTGCGGTTTGATATAATTATCGTACGTAATTAATTTAGCGAAAACAGTAAAGAAATTGCTAGCTGAAAAAACCACACATAAATTTTGGGGATGCTACAAAGTTATTTTTGCTAAATTAATTTATCTAAAAAGCAGTAATTCAAATACTTTCATCATTGTTTTCTATCTTTTTGAAAATTTTGGTGGAGGCTGCAATTGAGCTATAATTCCGGTTTCGTTGAAGTAGATTGATGAATTTTCATCTTTCAATTATATCTTTACCGTGTGTACGCAGTTGGGGATGCTAATTTATATATTATTTTACAATAAATTAAACTACAATTTCGAAGATATCTGTGTATGTAGACAACCCAACATACAGTAAATATTTCAATTGTAGTGAAGTTACTACAAAGAAAGTTGGGAAATGTATTTTCTCACGGAAATAACTATTTTACATGAAATTCAATACTATCACCCTACAAATTACCAAATATTAAGTAAAAATATTGAATTACTTAGCAATATTTTTGAAAACCATCTTGTAAAATTTCCTTGAAAATTCTTACACATTTTTATTTGGAATTGTTAATAAAAAAGTATTTAGTTACTAATTACAAGTATTTAGTTAATTTTTATTATGAGCTATCGTCTTACTGCCGAAATAAAAAGGGAAAATTTTTTCAACCAAATTTTAGATCTTTTCAAAAATAATACTAATTAATAAATAGTTTCTATGTAATATTTTGTGGTATATTCAAAACTAACACTGAGTTTTATAAAAAAAGTTATTTCCGTGAGAAAAATCGTTTTTTTGGTTTTCCTTGTAGTTATACGTATTATTAGAGTTGCAATATATACTGTATGTTGGGTTGTCTAAAACGATGGGATCAT